CGAAACTATCCATTATGAATCCAAACAACCTGGGGCTTTGGGTATGGACACCAACGCAGCATCTCGCTCACAGACAAAAATCGTGACTTAATTTGTTCGTCAAATGTTGTATCCTGGTTTAGTTGACAAACAAGTATGAAGTACGCAATATCAACTTGTAATTTCTGTCTGCTTGTATAGTCACACCTTAACAATTGGAGATTCACCGAATCATGGTAATGCAGTATTTTCATGGCAATATGCGGCATGTTTTTCTCATTATTGTGCTTGTCATCTGTGTTTATCCTGGCTAAAATTCTACGTGAAATTCACGCTCCGTGAATCAGATTTAGTTGCAAACGTTCCCGACCGTTTAAGAAAACAACTTGTTCGATCGTGTTTGGGGTTCCGCTCCGAACGATAGCTTGGTAGCGCACTGGGTGTAGGGATGGAGCAGCTGCGATTACCACTCACGGACAGGTGTTAAGTGTTGCTTTGTTGGACTGTGCTGGGCAAAAGGTGTTCTGGAAGTCAGCCGTGTACTTGGACACATGACCAGGGTAGCTAGTTGTTTGGGCTCTAAGGTAGCGGAACAATGTAATAAGATGGAGTGGGGGGGGGGGGTAAGTACAGGCTTGAATAAGCAAAGTTGAAACTGGTCACGATAAAAATGGACAAAGAAACAGCTCGTACTGGGGATGAGCAGAATCACCAATTAACTCAGTTGTTTAGTACTTTCATGTGTATAGTTGACTAGTTGAACTGAGTGTTGTGCTCAAAAACGAAGTCCAAAGACTGATCACTCATAATCAATAACACATATCGCACACCGCTACCCAAAAATGACAACTAATGAAAGCAGCAACCGCCCGGCGATGGGCCAGTGACTAACTTTAAGGAGAAGGAGTCATAAATTTAATACGCTCGAGAAGATGAATCATCAAACCACATTTGACTTCAGTATTCAAGGGAGAGAGGAATCCGTGCGCTCTATCATAGAGGCTGGTTAGTTAGAGTGAACAACCGTCTAGCGTGGAGCAGAGAAGAATCTTATGCTCAGCACAAGATACAAGCCGAAAGATGCAGGGAGGCCATAGGCGGGATGAGTTAAGCGAAAGACTCGAGAAAAAAACACGAGTTTGTGTAATTGAGCGTAGTAAAATCAATAATACAGAATTGGGTGGTAATGGATGCGGGTGGACATGTGGTAGTTCAGTGAAACATTTAAAAGAACATCAGAAAGAATTCGAAGGTTGAAAGTGATCGAGGTGGTCACGATCGAGGTTGGTCTTGACGGAGTGAGAGAAGAGATAAGAAAGTAGACAGCGTATGTTAACATCAGCGAATTTATGTCCAGAGTTGGTGAAAAGGATGAGTTAAATCACTGAACGATGCCACTCACAGAAAAGGACTAGGATAGTGTTCCATCAGCTCAGACAGAGGTGATGTCCTTACTGAGACTGCTCGAAGTCCATGCAACAAGAGTTGGAGGAAACCCCAGGTTGGCTAGTTTCGCCGGTATTTCTTGATGTGTGTGTGTGTGTGTGTGCGAAGGCATAATGTCAAGAGCGTGATCATGGCCATCATCACGATCGCGGACAGGCGTGAGGAACGAATGATTCCTCCTTGTGCCTGACACATCGTTTCTGCCGGTTGTGCGAGCCAATCACCGGTACAATAATCTTTATAAAATATAAGTTACTGGTGGAGATTAACATCTCTAACTGATAGTTGGGATTAACGCTCATTGGGTTTTCCATGCTCCATGACAGAAAACCGAAGTGAAAGGAATCAACACTGGTGGGCTGTAGACTAAACGAAAATTCGCTGAAATAGGGAGCTAGAGTTGCAGTTGCAGTGAAAAGTCAGCTTTCTGAAGCAACTAGATCGAGAGCCTTTTTATTTAACCTGATGCCTGATGCAAGCAACAGGCATTTCGTTCCCCGTTGTGCAGTTAGCAAATGGGCAATTTCATCGCAACACAGATTTGTTCCTATCTTCTGAGATAACTGCTATAGTGCACCCGGTCGTCGAATTCTCGAAGTAAGCAGTATGTTTGACTAACCATTGTAGTAATTTGACATATATCTGTTTGTCGGATACGTTCGTCATCACACACATACACCTCCATACAACTAACAGGGATGAACTATACTATAGTAATGAGGATCTGTTTCTCACGGGTGGTGGTCGGTAATCTCGTGTACTTGGGGTAGAGAAGCACACAAGGCCCGAATAGGATAGGCATTGTATTGAGCCAAACAACAGCAAAATTGTGTACCTGCCGTGGCAATCAGTTTACAAGCATACGCTTCCATAAACAAGATGTGTGATCAGATGTTGAAAATATCTGATCTAATCCCCCGTAGCTCAGCTGACACGGTGTGTTGCAAAGAGAGTTAGGTGTAATTCATGCGTAGATCCAAATCCCGTCGAAACTTTTGATGCTTTCATATTTACACTTCTCCGCAATTGACTTTGATGCTGCTGTTCCAACATTTTTACGGAATACACATATGGAAGCATCAG